AAATTGTTCTCTATTCTCTTGTTACTGAATTCTAATTATTTGTACTGTGAACAGAAAATGTGAACCACTAGTTTTTGCTTTGTGGCAGAATTTATGGAGATTTCTGTGTAGCCTACTGTGAGGTCAATTTTTATGATATTCTGCGGCCACTTGTTAAGAAGTTTGTGGTTCTTGTTGAAAGGCTACAAAATTTCATCTAACACATACACTCTCAAAATATTTTTCCAATCTTATGTCTTTAATTACTTTTTAACTCCAGTTTAATATATTTTGTCTGTTTTAGTGCCTTGGTATAACGTAGCAAAACTGTCATATATTCATTTTGAAATGTTCCCATCATTCATGTTTTAAGTATCATCTTTTGGATTTTGTTTCAGGTCTTTGTCAGAATTAATGAATACTCTCAAGCAATCGAGTTATCATTTTGAAAGCACTGAAGCTAACAGTGACAACACCTGAAGAAAAACATAGTAAAAGAGGGTTTTTCAACAAACCCCTATTATTTTCTACTCAAGATCATATTAAATAATAATCTGGTATTATGCACAGCAATTATGCATCCAGTTGGTAATGAGCTTTCAGAAGTCTGAGCCTGAGTTGTGCGCGAGCTCTCTGACTCAGCACTTTCCCCAAGGTCAAGATCCACGAGCACAGCCTGTAACTATTTCTGGAAGGGGAAGGCACCTGTTCTCCCTCTTCAAGCCTGGATGATGGATGGTGATGAGACCCAGTTCCAGCTCTCTTTGTGCTCCTCACTTGCGACATCGAGAAACAGCTCTTCCTATTCCCTGTTAGACACACTGCAGTGTGACATGCATACGCAATCTTCCTGGGACAGAAAGCTTTGTCCTTTGGAGGACAAAGCATGACTTCCTTTACCTGCCCCTGTTGTAACGGGTCTGAGCTATGTCTTGAGATAGAAGCCAGCTTTGCAGAGCTCCTGTCTTGTTCTAGTAGTGTCCATTTGTCAGCCCATCTTGCATCCAGATGCGAGAGGATATGTCTCTGGGCAGCTGTCCAGAAGACTAGGATCATCCAAGAGTCTACTGTTAATATTAAAACACTTTTTTAATGTCACTCACCTTTGCTTCTGCCACTCATTCTCAAACCCTAACTACAGTTTAGGGTCACCTGGGGAGTTTTAAAATCTTTGAAGCCCTGGGTCCACTCCACCAGTTAACTAGGAACCATTGTAACCCTGGTATTGGTGTATTTTATGGTCTTCCAGTGTGGAGCCTGAGCTGTGCTGGTCCATTCCTTCCTTTTGACTTTTCAGAGCGACTTTGCTTGAACTCCGTGTGTTGTCTCATAGAGAGGGCTGTGTTTTAGATTAACCTGTGTGCACTGGTTCTCACGATGACATTCTGTCTTTTTTCTTTCAGCACTTTACAGTTCCCCTCTTTATGCCTCTTTGATTTTTTCCCTTTGAATTCAATTTTCTCCCTAAATTGACTGCTTTACTTTTTTCCCTTTGGTAATTTTGAAGATAAGCTATTTCATATTCTATTACTAATTACACTTAACATCTTTAAAAACATGCGCTAACCTATATTTCTCTAATTAACCACAGAAACTATAAAACAGAATTTCTTGCAAGATGAGGAAATTAGCATATCTCCTTGCTCCAACTTTACTCTTTATATCAGCATAATCTAGAATATTTTACCCTGGGGTTTGGATGGGAGTGATATCTTACATGTTCTCTTCCAAAGAATATTTGTTATACTTGCATTTAATTTCCTAACTCTGTTTATAGTAATTATTTAGATTAATTGCTATATTTATTTATTTACTCATTGCAAATCTTTGTTTTTTTATAAACCACAACTTTCCCGTACTTTAATTCTTCATTTTGGTTTATCTCTTGGCTGGAAAGAAAAATCTTCAAGTAGTGTTTTATGAACATTGTCTGAATATTATTTTCAGGTCTTTGCTATTTGCGAGCAATTTTCTGTTGTCTCTTTGGTTTAACAACTTGACTGGGGGACACTCTTGTCTACTGCAAATTGTTTAAGGGCACATCTCTGCTGTGTCTAAGACACATGTGTTAAGGGTCCCACAACAATATTTTTCCCTCATTTACAGAATGGATGCACATTGGCACCTATGTTTATAGACTTGGGTGAGTTCCATTGGTTGAGGCTTGATGTGGGATGGGTTGTGAGACCCACTTGTTCATGGCATCATATTTTCAAGTAATATCAATTCTTAAACATTCATTGCTTCAGTGACCAGATATTGATTGAGTGCCTACAGTGTGCCAGGCATCATGGGAGCTGTTAGGGATTCAACAGAATCAAGCACACAAGACTGAAATACCTGTGTGTGTGTGTGTCAGGGAGAGGGAAGGCCAGGCCATGATCAAGTAAGCAGGTGAACAAGATTATGATGGGAAATGATAAGCGAGCCACCCTGTCTAGCTGCTCCAATTCCCAAACGTGCTCCCTGTAAGGGGCAGTATGATGGGGTCGGGGATGGGAACTCAGGTGTTGTTGACTCACTTCTCTCTGCTGCAGATGCATTTGTCCATGGTTGCCGTGCCCCGATCGTCTTCCCTCTGAAAGCACAGGGCCTTTCCTGTCTTTGTGCTGCCTTGGTCTTGTTTGGCAGGCCACATGACTTGCCCCCTTCTGTCTTCAAGGTCGTTGGCTTGGGGTTATCATTTGTATTATGCTCTCATCTGAACTACCACAGAATGAATATGTGGTGGGCCTCCCAGTTCAATACTGAGAGAAGGCTTGGGATTGACAGGCGGGTCTCCCAACAGACTGGAGGAACGCCCTCAGGGGCATTGGGCAGCACTGTTGATAGTGGTGGATGCTGTAGAGGAGGTGGCTAAGAGCTTACTCCCTGGTATCAGCTTGCATGCACTGAATCCAATGCTCCCATTTTTCTGCCCATGTGACTTTGGCAAGTAACTTAGCTTCTCTGTGCTTCAGCTTTAAGTGGGGTTAATAACAGAACCTACGTTGCAGTGTTACGATGACAGTCAAATTGAGTAATTGATGAAAGTACTTAGAATGATGCCTACACTTCCTAAATCTTCAATAATATGTAATGATCATTGCTATTAACTATATCTTGCATTGCCTAAAAGCTTTGTCATCGTCTTCTCTCCCCTTTGTTCAAATTCCTGCCATACTTAACAATTACAGGGATGAGCCTGAGTGTGGCTTAGGGCCCAAGCTTACTTTGCTGGGTTTAATGGGAGGACTTTCAGGCTCAAATTGGAAAGGAAACACCTTGTGCAGAAAACAGAAGATGGGTGGGGTGGCGAGAATCAGCACAAAGCTCACCATGAGCCATAACCAAGGCCTTTGTTTTCTGCGTGCTTTTCTTTGACAAATATGATTTTATTATTTTCCATCTGAGCTTCATTATAGTAAGTCAAATATACTCACTGAAGTACCGATATTATTAATACCAAACACCAAGTGGAATATTACAAAGGGATTTAAATGTTTATTATTAATTTATTTTCAGACTTCTTCATGCTTTTGTATTTTTTTAATATTTAGAATGAACCTATAGTGTTTTTTGCAATCACCCAGATACCTACTACCCTAAAGCAGTTTTTGTTTGGGGGCTCATGTGTAGTATTTGTCCATATATAAACAAGCATTTAATAGCTATAATCAAAAGTACACATATAATTTTATGATCCACTGTTTTACTTAAAATGATGTTTAACACTCTTTCGACGGGGTCATATTTATCACTTTAATGACTGCGTTCGAACTGCATCACATTAAAAGCTATAATTTAGCTCACATTATTGGGCTGACATAGAGGTTGCTCGCATTTCTTTTCTGTAATAAAATCATGTCACTATGAACATCTTTGTCCATGTGGCACTTTTTCTTTTGAATTAATTCCCAGAGATTGCTGAATCCTACTACTCACAGAGTCCAGTGACTCTTCATGAGAGTTCATAGACTCCCTTCCTTTACTCCATCTGCAACTCGCACTCAAGGCATGCGTGTGTGAGTTTCCACGAAGACTTGACGATACTGGGTTTTAGCTTTCCGTCTTCATTTTTTCCCTAGGGAAATGAATGATCCTTTCTTATTCATTCTGTTTTCTCTCTTATGGATCCTCTGAGGATATGCTTGGCTTGCCTTGGTGATGATCTTATGTAATTTTAAGAGTTTTAATTCAGTATTTCCCCAGTGTCATAATTGTTGCCATCTTTTTCATTCTATTATTTTCTTTTGTAATGTTGCTTAGTGTGTGTTCGTTTTCCCATTTAGAGCGCTTTCCTTGCCTCATCCTTGTTCCAGGGATATTCTGTTAATTGGCATGAAAAGGGTTTAAAACAAGGCCTTTTCAGAGGAGTGGGCCATTAGGGTGAAGTGGGGGAGAGGTAACAGGAAGTAGGCAAGGCACCATCACCTCCCTGTCCCCATTCTTCCACGGCTTGGATCTCTGAACAAGGTTGCTCACCTGGCACCTTCTGAGATGAGTGCTGTCACTTGGGGTTCTCAGAGTTCCCAAGGCTAACCTTTCATTTCCCAGTCAAAAACATTAGAAGGAGAGAAATGAATTTGGACTATTCTGCCCTTGTTACCACCTGGTGGGGGGGTCCACCCTCTGTGTCACTGAGCAATGTCCTTTCCAACTACTGCCAACCAAACTGAGAGGGATCCGGGCCTGGCGGTCTACACTTGAGCTTGAGGGACAGGTTTTCCCAGACACACAGGACCAGAAGCATGCAGACCCCAGCTGGGGTGAGCTTGCTGAAAGGGGGAGAGGGGCCAAGAGACAGCCGACTCCGCCATGCCTACCCTTTGCCAAAGGGATCCTTCCAGTGCTGTGGCCAGCATGGAACCCAGCATGGCTCCAGCCTAAAGCCCAGAGCCCAGCCAGTCCAGCCCAACCCTGGTGCCACCCTTCCTCTCCGATACTCTTTAGAGTAAGCAAATGCTGCCTGTGCCAGTCCTCGGTGGCCCTGGGCACAGCGTTGGGGACACCTGCTGACCTCCACTGCTCTTCTCTTGCAGTTTCCTGCTTCTTCAACTTCACCAGCCCCTCTGGGATCGTGCTGTCTCCCAACTACCCGGACGACTATGGCAACCACCTCCACTGTGTCTGGCTCATCCTGGCCAGGCCCGAGAGCCGCATCCACCTGGCCTTCAACGACATCGACGTGGAACCTCAGTTTGACTTCCTGGTCATCAAGGATGGTGCCACCGCCGAGGCCCCAGTGTTGGGCACCTTCTCAGGAAACCAGCTCCCCTCCTCCATCACCAGCAGTGGCCACGTGGCCCGTCTCGAGTTCCAGACCGACCACTCCACGGGGAAGCGGGGTTTCAATATCACCTTTACCAGTGAGTTTTCCCCCTGAGCTCTGAGCAGGCTCCCATGGAAGTGGGTGGGCCAGTTCTGAGGGTGTTGCTGGGCTGCAGAGCCCAGGCATGGAGTTCTCAATAGGACCAGGAAAAGGCACACAGTCCTGGCTATGGGGCAGGGGCTTTCTTCTATGGAGTTACTCTAGCTGGAGTGTTCATTCCATATGTGTGGTTTATAATGTAAAAGGAGCCTTTAGCCCTTTCCCCATATTCTTTCCCCTTGTCGAAGGCCCAGCTGCAACCAGCAAGGGCCCAAGCAAAATGAAACTTCTGCCATTTTCTCCTTAGCTTCCTGTCCCCTCCCTCATGTGCCCCAGCCCAAACCCCTGATGCCTCACTGTTGACCTCTGGTGGCTGCCCCAGCCCTGCTGACCTGTGGTAGTGCTCCCCCCATGCTGGGCTGCTCCCTCTTAGCTTTGCCCAGTTCCCCTTCCATACTCAGTTGGGAAACAGAGGCTTGGAGCAGAGTTTCTCCTTGGCTTCAAACCACTGCACACTCCTCTTGGTCACCTCCCATTTCAGTCCTGAGGCCTTCCCTAGAAGCAACTTGAAACTCAGCCATGAGTATTTTCATTTTTGTGTCCCATGGTTACTTTGGGGGTGGAATAGGGGTAGGAGCCTGGAGACTGGAAATAGCAAGCACCCAAAGATATTTAAAAAGTGAGTATCAGGTCATAAGAAGCTGTACATCTGATGAATTTGGCCAATGACCAATAGTCAAGAAAGGCTCAAGCTGGGTATACCTGATCCTTTTCTGAAGGCAGCTTGCAAAATGCAAGACCCAAGTCAAGCCCTTCCCCAAACACATATGTAGAGCTCACCCCTCTGGTGCTTTTTGACATAACTTGTCTCCCCAAGCCCCACACCCACCTTTGGCATAGCAGCCTTATCCCCCTGGGCCCAGTTGAGCTGTAGACATTAGGTATTACATGGTGGGCCATCTGGGACCCCCAGTTCCAAGGGATCATCCAGGAAAAGGACTTGATCCCTTCAACACCCATCTTCCAGACACCAGAGCTACTGGAAGCAACCAGCCTTCCCTGGGGGTGTCTCTTCCAGAGGATTTCCAGCCTCATCCTCTGTGGGCTGGAGGAAGTAGAGCCCAGTTCTGTCTTTCCTGACCTTTCAGTCTAACATGGACAGTTCTGGCTGTTAGCATGTCTGTGCTCATACGTGTTCTCCCCATGAGACCATGAAAGGATCATGAAAGTTCTAGGAAGGAGCAGGTAGAGACCCCCTGTTTTACCATCTGCTCTGCCCAGCTCAGGGCTTGCGCGTGGTGGAGATGAGTAAGTGCCTTTGAATTGGAGGATCCACAGGTGACTCTGTGCTTTCTCAGCGTGCAGAGAGTGAGAAGAACAGGGGTAGAGACACCCCAGAGAAGCTTCCCCAACGTGGTGAGGGCTGAGAACTCTGCAGGTTTGGAGTCGGTGTGGACCCCAAGGAGGGACTTGGGGCAGAAACAGATAACTGGCAGTCTCCCAGGAAAGTTGAATTCTAACAAGTCCAGTTTTCTAGGAAAGGAACGCATGCCAAGTCCGTGGGAGGAAACAGAAGGCAGCCCAGGCCCAGGCAGCACACTGACCTACGGGTTTCTCTCCAGGATTTCTCCACAATTGTCAACACGATAGGCATATAATCTGTAAATACTCGAAACATGGCACAGGTCAAAGCAGAAATGGTAACTGCCCCCCAAGACCCCCAGCCGGAAATGTTCCTACAGCACAACTACATGTCTTATGTGCTTCTCGGTGCATTCATACTATTGGACAGTGGGATGCATAGCTAGAAATATATTTTAGAATCTGGGCCCCATCCCAGGCCTGCTGAGTCAGTCTCTAAGGGGATGAGGGCCCAGAATCTACATTGTACAGACTTCCCAGATAATTTGGGTGCATTCCATAAAACACGAGTCCAAGGACAAGTGTTGAGAATGAAGGTAGTCTCCCCAGGGGGCATTCATCTCCTCCCTTGTGACTGGGGAGCTCATCTCCCAGCAGCTGTCCCCATAGCTGGTGAGCTCTGACTGCTTTCCCTCTGTTGACTTGAAACCTGTATCGAGGACCAGCGATTCCCTGGCTCTGCTGGAGCTCCTGGGAATAAATCTAATGCTCCTCCATGTGGAGAAGGTGGACAAAGATGAGGTGCTGTTTATGGAGCAGCTACTGCATGCAGGACCTGCACTGAGCACTGTGGCATCATCACTGATAGCCTGGTGACAAAAACTCTGTCAGCCAAGATCTGTCCCTTTGTACACACCAGGAAAACGGGGCCTTGAAAAATAAAAAGAAGTGGGCCATATTTAAATCTTTGACATAGAGCTTTTGCTCTCAGACATTGGAAATGGTCTGTCCCCCTGCTTTGTGCACGTGTGCATACATGTTTGCATGCCTGTGTATGCATGGATGTGTGGTGTCTGTGTGTATGTATTCATACATATGTGCATGTGTGTATGTGGACATTCCTGGGTTTGCATGTGGGCTTACACATGCATGTGTGTGTGCATCCATGTATGTGTGCATGGATGTAAGCCTACATGTGTGTGTAATGCCTGGATTGTGTGTACACATATATGTGTTCCTGCCAAGATTGTATGTGAAGGCATGTGTGTGCATGTGTTGAATAAGTATGTGTATGTGTGTTTAGGGATGTGTGTTGGTATGTGTCTGCATGTGTGTTGCCTGAGTGTATGCATGCACTATATGTGGGCCTATATGCATACATGTATATGTATGTACATGGATGTGTGCATGGATATATGGTACATGTGTGCAGGGATGTGTGTATGTGCATACGTGTGTGTGTGTGTGTGTGTGTGTGTGTGACTGATAGGGTTTGGTATAGCAGATGCTTGGATTCTGGGTCCCAGGCACCACTCTATGTCTCTAAATTTCAGGGCAACTCCATGGTTGTAGTTCCTAATGAAGAAAGCTTGAGAGACTGAAGTCTGGGCTGACCTAGCCTTTGCACTTCCGAAGGAGGGATGTAGGGACTCAGCCACGGCCCAGCGTGGGAGCACCGCAGCCTCTCTCTGTCGGCCCCTGCAGCTCCTCTGCAGTGGGAAAGGCAGCCACGTTTATAAGCAAGATCCAGCAGCCTCCAGGGCCACTCCTGTCTCAGAGCATGTGTGTGTGCACGTTTCCTTCCTAGTGGCACGTGCCCATGCCTCCATGGAGCCTGTCTCCCCCAGAAAGGGGGCATCCTTAAAAATGGCAGGAATGCCAACGGGGCCTGGTGCCAGGGACACCAGTGCAGGCACTGCGGCACTGCCGATGGAGGAAGGCTGGGGACGCGCCTGGTGTAGTTGGAGCAGGAGAGGGTGTCTTTCCATGCCGGGATGGGAAGGGGGAGGAGAACTCATACTTAATTGCACCAAACTCTGGCCATTTTCATTTTCCTACCAACTTTCATTCTATTCCTGTCTCAGAAGCAGCCTGCTAGAGAAGTGTGATCTCCCGTCTGATGGCTCAGGAAACCGAGCCCCCACCAGATTACATAAGCTACCCAGAGCCGTGTAACTGACGGAGGAGAGGCAGAGCGGATGAAAGCCGCAGCGCTCTGCCTCTTTCCTGTCCCCACTCCCTGCGTTATCAGTTTGCCTACAGAGTGAGAGGCAGCCCTGACAAGAGGCAAGGAAATAAAGGCAATGGCTTCAGACAGGGTTAATTCCAGGGCTCCTGCTCTATGGTGCTTAGTACCTGTTAGTGTCACAAGATTCCTAGCCCAGCTCCCCTGCAGCGGGGACGATCCCGTGACTGTCGGAAGTTAGGGAAGCATGGAGTGGATTTGACAGTGAGGAGCCAGATCTGCCCCTTCACCACCCTGAGCCTCCACTTCCTCATTTGTCAACTGAGGCAGTAAGAGGCACGTGCTAGAATCATGACACAGTGGGAACGAGCTCACGTGAGAACCCCCTAGCTCACCCGCCTCGCCTGTACATGTCCAGTGGGCAGAAGTTGAGTTAGGTGCTCAGAAAAGCTGGAGATGAGTGGAAGCAGCACCTGCCCTGTGCCCGAGGTGGCCTGTTGGTGGTGACCCTGGGCTCCTGGGTTCCAGGGTGTCTAGCTGTCCCTGCCACGTGGCAGGTTCTGGAGGAAGTGGCACAGAGGTGGCATTCCCCATCCTAATGATGTTTACTTCCTGTGGGGGGGGCCCATCTGCACACCAGCTCTGTCTGATCATGCCTGTGACCCCTACCTCCACAGCCTTCCGACACAACGAGTGCCCCGACCCTGGCGTCCCGGTCAACGGCAAGCGATTTGGGGACAGTCTCCAGCTGGGCAGCTCCATCTCCTTCCTGTGTGACGAAGGCTTCCTCGGGACGCAGGGCTCGGAGACCATCACCTGCGTCCTGAAGGAGGGCAGCGTGGTCTGGAACAGCGCCGTGCTGCGGTGTGAAGGTACCGGGCCTGTGGGCCGGGGCTGGCAGCTGCCTGCGGGGGGCGGGGGGGGGGGCAGGGCGACAGGGACCAAGCAGCCCGCACAGCAGCGATCTGGTTTGTTTTTGCATTCTTTTTCTACTCGCACATCTATGCATTACTTCCTTGAAAACCAGCGAGACAGACAGAGCTCTCATCTGCTGGGTCACTCCCGAAATGCCTGCAACAACCAGGGCTGGACCAGACCAAAGCCAGGAGAATGGAACTCAGTCCAGGTCTCCCACGTGGGTGACAGGCACCCAAGTGCTGAGCCATTACCTGCTCTCTCCCAGGGTGAGCAGTAGTTGGAAGCTGGATTAGAGAGTGGAATCAAGACTCAAACCCAAGCACTCCGATGTGGGGCACAGGTGTCCCAACCAGCATCTTAACTGCTGCACCAAGCACCCACCTCACCTTCTGTACCCATCCTTGCTCTTCTTCCAGGACCCAGGGCCACTGTTTACCCTCAGCCGAGCTAACAGGAGTCTTGGAGGACTGCCTGGCATAGGACTTTGAGTTGCAGCCAGAGATTCAGCTGGAGAATTGCTGACTCTGAATGGTCAGGCATCATGAACACCTCTTCTTTGGCCTGGGCTCGCTCTCACTGTCACAGCCCTTAGGGAGCTCCGTTTCCAGCTCCTGCCCCAGGGAGCTCTGACAGCGCTGTGAGTTCTCAAGTCTGGCAAGCTGTCCACCACTCTTCCCTTCTCCACACGCTAATCTCCCCCAGTTCCCTGGGGTGGCTCCCAGCCCCCAGCCTTTGTGCCCCTGGTAAATGCTGCCTTGCTATCCTTGCTGTCTGCAATCTTGGGAGGACCCCACTTGCAGCAAGTGCTAGGCTCACTATGGCAGCCCCTACCCCCCTGCCTCCCCAAACAGGGCAGCTTTTGACTCGATTTCAGAGCCCAGTCGTCTGTCCCACCAGATGGAGCTTCTTGAGGGCAGGAATCCTGTCAGATTTGCACACCCAGCAAGGGGCCTGGCACAGAATAAGTGTGTGTGGACTTGGATGAGCAGTGAGTATCTGCAGGCCCTCGAGGAGGCAGGGACAACGTCCTGGAAGGAGAGAACCTTCTGGGAGCTTCCCCTCCCTGCCTGTGACGGACATGGAGGAAGGAGACCTAGGAGACTTCTCCACGTACCCACTCCCCACGTCCCAATCTGAGCACGCTGGCCACAGGAGGCTGGACAGGAGAGTGCAGAGGGAGGCGTGCCTTAGAGCACCACCCCAAGCCGACAGGTGGATGGAGGAGGGCAGGGGGAGAGGACACACCACCCAGAACACGCTGCGTGGAGCAGACTGTCCACACAAGCTCTCGTGTAACTGCAGGCCTGGCGCATCGCTTTCCCTCTGAACCTGTTTCTTTTCTGCTGAGGAAAAGCAGGGACAAATATGAACCATGTTGGTAAAGAGCCGTCCCTGGCATCAAGTTAAACTCACGTGAGGGCGCTTCCAAGAGTTCATGGGACATGGAATGAAGAGATGAGTTTATCTGTGCAAAATGTTTTTGAAAGCGTGCATAGTTTTTTTCATTCCATGCATTTTTTTTTCTTCACCAACTTTTGGGAAATTCTATGAATCTTGGGTGTGTTCTCTTGGACGTGTAGGTTCTGTGAGGTTAGGTGAGCTTTGCGGCCTTGCATTCCACTCGTGGCATGTTGTTTGGGACATGGCAGATGCTGCTTGATGAATAACTGAATGAATGAATGAATGATGCGTGGGTAAAAGCCCTCCAGAGCCCCTACCCTGCTGTCTGCCCTCTGCAACCTACCAGCGGCGTCACCCAGGCAGGCAGCTTGGACCCTCTGTGTCCCCTTTGCCCCATCTGTAGTGACCTCCTCACGGCGCAGCTCCTGGAGCAGTGCCCAGCACAGAGGTGCCACCCAGGAACCCAGTAACCATTGGCTGTTAGCCCTGTTCAAACATGGTGGCCACCATTTCGTCATCAGGACTGGCTCCACTTTGTGGGACGAGAGGTTTCCATCCTTCGAGGCCCCTGCCCCATCCCGGACTTGAATGGATGTTTCTTTCTGACATCCAAGGTCCCCACAGTGTGGTCCCCACAGGCCCATCTGCTGCTCCGCCCCAGGGCAGCCAGTACTTGTAGAAGGGACTCACGCTTTGCAGTGGGAGAAACAACGTGAAACTCCCAGCCCTTCCCTGCCGGGTTAGGTAGCTCCCTCAGCCTTGGTTCCCCTCACCAGCACCGTGGAGCTGATCCTGCTCACTTAGTGCAGCTGTTTGTGGGTGCAACATATGACAGTGACCATGGGCCGCACCCACACACAGCCCAGCATGGAGGATGGGCAGGCAGTAGGCATTTGCCCTCCCTTCTAATCCTCTCCAGCACTCTTCAGTCTCCTGTGAGTTCTTTGGTCTTCTTGTGTTGGTCCTGCTTGCCTGAACATCGCCCTGCTGTGTCTCTTGCTCACCTGATCTCCCCTTCTCCTCATTCCCATTACTCGCCATGGTCCACTGGGCCACTCTCTCAGACACTATCTGCCACTATTCTATTTTTCTTTACCAGTTTCCATGAGACTTGGTCCTATCTCCCCACCAAGATCATAGGCTGTCCCAGGCCAGAAATACAGAACCCCAGGGTCCCTGAACTCACAGGGACCCTGTCCCCAGTGAGGTGACCCTGCTGGAGAAGCTTCGGAAGTTGGTAACTGTGGAATCCTTCTCTGCTGTTTATTCCCCACACTCTGAATCAGGAACTCTGAGAGCCCAGTTCTGCAGGTGCAAGGAGACCCTGGAGACCAAGGGTGGACCGTGAGAGAACTCCACCCTGGTACTGGGTCTTCATACAACTCACTATTGCACAGGCAGAGGCCCTGTGTTGAAATTCAAACCGTCTGTCTTATTGTGTCTATGGATGGGGGAAATGGTGAAGGTTTGGGGACAGTGGGCATCAGAACAAAGCTGCGGCCTGTTGGATGCCCTGAACTTGGTTTCCTCAGAGGGATGGGTCTTTGGTGCCAGCCTGGTTTTCAGGGATCTGGGGAGCAGCCTATCAGAGAAGCAGAGGGAGAGCCAGACACCACCAAGGGCAGCTGAACCCCAGTATTAAAACTTCAGGGGATGGAGCCGCAGCTTAATAGGCTAATCCTCCACCTAGCGGCGCCAGCGCATGGGGTTCTAGTCCCGGTAGGGGCGCCGGATTCTGTCCCGGTTGCTCCTCTTCCAGGCCAGCTCTCTGCTGTGGCCAGGGAGTGCAGTGGAGGATGGCCCAAGTGCTTGGGCCCTGCACCCCATGGGAGACCAGGAGAAGCACCTGGCCCTGCCTTCGGATCAGCGCGGTGCGCCGGCCGCAGCGCGCCAGCCATGGCAGCCATTGGAGGGTGAACCAACGGCAAAGGAAGACCTTTCTCTCTGTCTCTCTCTCCCTGTCCACTCTGCCTGTCAAAAAAAAAAAAAAAAAAAAAAAACACTTCAGGGCAGGTGGGCTGGAGAAACCCCAGGCAGCTGCCCCTCCTTGGCCTCTTCCTCCTCTGCCCAAGCCTCAGGAGAACCCTGCTTGGCAATCAGCAACTTCGTCTTTTCAGTGTTTTCCAGTTTTGTTTTTGATTAAGTATCCCCACCTTGTGGACAATTAGATGCAGATGCTAATGGTCTTCTGGAAAATCTTTTAATATATGCTAAGAGCCACTTAGTATTTGAGAGGCTGTAATAGGACAAGGGAGAAAATGGCTTCTCCTAAATTTAGAAGGAAGGATGAGCACCTGCCAGAGCTAGAGCGGGGTCAGCAAACTTCCCCTTAAAGGGCCAGACAGGACGCGTTTTGGGCTTGGCGGATCCTACGGCCTCTGCTCAACTCTGCCGATGCCAAGACAGCCGTAGATGAGGTTGGGCCAGCTTTGGCCTGCAGACTATAAGTTCACTGACCTCTGACCTGCAGTGCCAAGGACATGGGGCACCCATAGGTTTAAAATCAGAAATTTCCTAGGCAAGCCTTCCAGGGAAGGTAGCTGCATGGGAGTGCCTGGCTGTCTCTCGCCCATGCTCACTTGACTCTTCGAAGGACCAGATAATCATACTCACTCAACCCCTGCCCCCAGGCTAAGGGCTTTTCAAGAGCCACCTCGTCTTAAACTTCAACAGCTCTGGGAAACTGGTGAAGTTACCATCCACTGGGGTCTAGAGAGGTGAAGCCACTTGCCCAGGATCCTCCCTGTATGGATGGGATGGAGCCAGGATTCACACCCAGGCTCTTGCCTGCCCTGTCACTGCGTTCTGCATGGATTCCATTGCTAGGGATAATATGGTATCCGACATGTTTATAAAAGCATCCAGGAGTGGCGTGAGAAGCAGCTTTTCCTCCTGGTAGAAAACTGAAACACAAGGAAACATACTGCCTTTGCGAAACTCAAAGAAGACAAGATGGCCCATGGAAGCCTCAGCGATCAACAGCATAAAACAAGATGACAGTGGTCAGACAAATGTAACAGTAATTAAGCCCCCTATTGAGAGGCAAAGACTCTCAGACTATATTGAAAAAAAAAATCTGCTTACAAGAAATACACGGGAAAAAAAGGAGATAATTTATCGACGGTGAATGTGTATTCAGCTCCGTGGCTTTTGACCAGATGAGGTCTGAGTGCAAATTCACTCTATATTCGTTCTGCTTCAGAGTGCTGCAGGATGGCGGGTGGTGAGGGGCACGGGTGGGTAGCGGGGAAGTGGGCTGAAGACAGTAGAAGCCACACGTGCAGCCGCAGGGCTGAGGCACTCCAGGGTGAGAGCAACGGGCCGTCCCTGCTTCAGGTCACTCTCAACAGACAACCCAAGCCCTCGGAAGGCAGGTCACGTCCATTGCAGAAGCAGCAGTCAGGGAAGGTGTCCCTGTGCCCACCTGCAGTGGTTAGAACCACAGGACCTGGAGTCAGACCACCCAGGCTTCAGTCCTAACTCTGCTGTGTCCTGGACCAGGGACCTCACCTCTTTGCACATCAGTCGTCTTTGCTCAACTATGCAATGAGGC